ATAAGCAACTGACAAAAACTATTAAAATCGAATTTTTATGTATATTTAATGTCAAAATGTAATTTATCAGTAACACTCGCTCTTTTTTCCAAGAGTTATTCACTTTCTATTCCATTCACTTAGACTCATATCGTATCTTCATAACGGAGGAGGCAAGACACTGCTGTTTTCTCAAAGTGAGAAAAGATCAACAAGAAACAATTGTTTCTTTTTCTATTTTATTTATATGTGTTAGGGAATATGCTACGCTCGCGCGCCTTTAAAACACCAGGTGATATAAAACAGTAGCGTTGTCTATAGGAAATTTGTGTATAGTCTCATAAAAATATTCGTATGTGTTGTTTGTATTATTGACAAATTTTCAACACAATCTTGTTTTTTTTTTTTTTTGAAGACAATAAAACAGTTTGATATCTTTAACGTGGAGAACAATTGTCATATGGTGGTGGTGAAGTCCTCTCGCCTTATACAATCACACTTGTCGTGTTAGCCTTTGTACAGAAATGCAAAACCCTGGGGAATATTTTTTTTTTTTTTCTTACAAATATTTAAGTAAAACTTTTCGAAAACTATGTTAGAAACAAAATTTATTTCATAAGTATTTAAAAAAAATTACAAAAAAAACAAATAACACAACCGTTAATGCAGTTGATTGATTGCTTTACGCGCCATTGTTATTGTATTTGTTTTGTTACAATAAGATCTCAGAAAGTCAAATGTCTTATTTAATTAACATCTATTTGACGAGCTGTCAATGTGTGTCAACAACAACATATAACCAACAACCACAAAAACAAAATTATGTATGAATGTTGAGTTATGCAAAAAAAAAAAAAGCAAAAACAAAAACACCAACAAAAACAACGAAAAGAAGAAGTAGTAGAAAGAAGTAAAAAAAATTCATTGGCTTCAAAACGAATTTTGGATGCGCTATTAAAACCTACTAAAAAATATAAATAAAAATGAAAAAAGGTTTTTAACATTTAGAGCATAGTGCAGTAAGCAACTCTTCAACCAACCCGCGCTGACTTAACTCTATGCCCTTCTGTCCGACCGTCCGTCCGTCCGCACGCCCGACCGACGCATTGTGACTACTCACGCTAAGAAAATTTAAATGTAACATATGGAGTTTCTAGTCTTGATGCGCAGATCTAAATTTTAAAACTACTTTAAAACATTGTTTCCATTGAAGTTTTTGTATAGCAAATGCCGATCCAACATATAGCGTAAATGTATAGAAATACCACCTAAAATATCGACTGTACAATTATTCCGATCGGTTTGTTCGGATGCGGTTAACAAGCGTCTTTGATGTTGTTATATACCTGTTTAAGGCGCTAAGATTCACATCAAGACTAATGTGATTTTCTTATCAGAAATTCCGCCTCTGGGGCTTCAACCAAATAACGGTACATTTTATGTTTTTGGAGAACATGGATCATGTCAGGTCAGTTTAATTTAACCACTCAGATCGTAGTTTTATATAAGTTTTCGAACTCTCTTCATGTATAAATATAAGGAGAAGTAAGTACTCATAGGGAGAGATTATCTATGCGCTATGTAGAAACCAGTTGAACTGTCAACGTTGGTTTCATTTCTTAGTGTTCTCGGTATGGAGGATTGGCTAAATAGAAGAATGGGCACATGAACAACTACCGATAGATAAAATGGCGGGACGAGCAGGTCGGTAAATGGGCAGACGAGAAAATCAATGGTTGGAAAGATGAATAAAATGAATATTAACCTGAAGCGTGCAAAAATAATTCGATGAACGAAGAGACGGACGAACGATAAACGGATTTACTATTGATGAATAGATAAAAATAGGTATTATAAGCCGACGGACCAATAAATGGATAGATAAACAATTCAACAGACGGTAAGACAAAAGAGCGATTGTTTAATGACTGCAGTTGAAAGGACGGCAAGGGGGACAGTTCGATGAATAGACATACGATCAATGCATAGAAAGAACACTGCGCAGAAAAATGGACCGATTGCCAGTGAAACGAGTGCATAGATAAAGAACGTGCGGACGATTGGATAAGAGAAAGGACTGCTTGAACAGACATATGGATGGATTTAGAAACGAAAAGGAAAAAGAGCTGGTGGACAGATGCATGGACATCAAAATTTTTTCGAGAATTGGATTAAGAGACGAATAGATTATTGTAGAGAGAGAGAGAATAATAGACGCGTGGATAAGCAAATTTACAACCGAACGGGAAAACGGATGATGTACAAACTTGATCCATTACATCGATTTCTAGAAGATAATCATTCTATAAAATTGCTAGTTCTGCTCGCAAACTCTATCACACATTCAGTATGCTTGAGTTCGAGTAAGTACGCTTAAGTACAAAAGCAGCAAAAAAAATTATCTCAACGCAGATATTTATAAAGTTGCATATACCTGAATACAATAACTGTCATTCATAAATTTTATTATTTTAAAATTGTTGTTCCAGTCACTTGTTGTTTTATTATTACGCTCAGTAATTTATTTTATATAATAAAACTAGGAAAAATGGAAGATTTTCTATAAGCGTTTTTTGTTAAAGTTTTTTGCTCTTACAACGTGTTAATAACGCATGGCAGAAGTCAACAACTCTAATAGACCGTATTTGAATGTGAGAGAAACAACGATTTCACATCACACAAACAATACAAATACACTTAGAGCACAAATTGTTCGAATCCTATTCGCGTACTGATCATTATCCCCTGATTTACTAGTACTCGAATCTTTTATACACGTCACCGGGAAGCAAAAGGGAAAAACTACATTTTCATACTTTATAATTGGATGGGCGCGGTCGATATTTTCTATTTTTTAAAAAATAACGGAAAAGTTTATATGCTCTGTCATACGTTACGAGTAACAAGCAAAATACAACGAAAACAAAAACATTTACACTTTTTGCTGCTCAGTCGTGAGGGCGTGTTATAGGCGTTTTTTTAGAAAATTTTGGGTTCTTTCCAAATTCTCTTGCAAGTTTATAGGCTACAACTTCATTTCTGCGGACGAGAGAATGTTTACCATAGGTATCACAAAGTTACGCACAGATGGACAGACGACTGAGAGGACATTGTTAGTGGCATTCTAAATTTTAAACTGGTCAAGAATTTGTTTAATATTACATTGCTACTGCGCTTTATAAAGGTGTTGCAGAAAAGAAGAAATTATGACACACTATCACATTGAATAGTGGTCGCCGATTTTTCCCATAGCCATAGAGGCATTACAGCGTTGCCCGTAGAATGCGCGTTGAAATTTTTGTAGATTTATCTGCTGTAGTTTAAGGATAACGGGCCAAAAACTCAATATTTTGCCTCGCTTTATATAGCACTGTAGGCGTATCTTTCGATGCGCCCGTTTGGCGCATTTCCAAAACCCACCTGCGTGCAAGAACTTCCAATGTTTTAGCCAAATTCAAAGTTGATAGCTGAATTTTTGGCGCCAGGAGAATGCTTACAATATAAATTGTACGAACGGACGGACGGACTTGCTTAAACGGATTCAGAAGATGATGCGGATCAAGAGTGTATACATGTACTTTTTGGGATCTCTGAAGCGTCCTTTTGGACGTTGCAAATGTTTTGACTAAATGAATACTTCCCTCATACTTGGACGATGGCGTTAATAATAATATATACAGCATTTTGAGTGTGTGCGTCGTTTGTCAATAGATGAAGTGCGGATTTTAGACTTTCTGGTCGGGTAACCAAAAAAAAAATATATATATATCTAGTACGTTATTACGTTTGTCATGGTTATAACCAGCAGAATGTATCAGACATATGTAGTTATACGTCTAATAGCCATAAAACATACCGATAGATATTTTAATTCGTCAAGCTGGGTGTAACGGTTTTATTTATTATTATTGTATTATTCATTATTAATCGCTTTTTTATTGCTTTGAACCCATAAAGTCTAAAGATCCCCTTGGCTTAGCAAAAACAGGCACTATTCGTATAGTGCACGGCATTCAAACGACATTGATGCGTATCAATATCAAGAGAAAGACAAAGACAGAAGCAAAGAGCGAATTTATTATGTCTGTTTCTTTTTTAGGAATTTTATCGCATTATTTGTAATTGGAGCGTATGAGTGTCGATTAAATTATAAGTAAATATCGAAGATGTTTGTAGAAATTTGTATTTTTTATTACTCATACGACACGGGAGGATAATATTAAGTTAAATAAGCGCTGCATTATTCGTTACACAATTTTCATTACACTCTTATTAATTCGACAAGACGGGACCGAAGCAGATGCACAATGCAGTTCCCATATGCACTGATTAGAAACATATTGGACTTGTATTTATTCAAATTGGGAATATCATGTATAAGTTCTTCATAGCGTTTCTCGTGCTTATTTCCACGCGATAGAAATTGTGAATGGATGATTGTTGTAAAAAAATGAATTTTAAAGCCTGGAACGCGCACACCGGTCGGATGCATTAATACATGGACAGATCATAAAGTTATTTTTCGTATATTTACGCAGGTATACAACGGGGTCACAGACGTTATTTCAAAATTGCCTTACTATTATTATTATATTGTATTTACCTTAAATATTATTCTGTGTTCGTGTGACCCTATTTATGAATGTTTGTAGGTTTGTTCTTAGCATATGTATCGCTTATGCAAAAGCCACATAATATCAAATTACAAAACAAACAAGCATAAAAGTACTTGACCAAACAAAACGCAAAACATACAACATAAGACATGACAAGAACAGTACAACCCACAAAAAATATGTATACACACACACACACACACATATATATATATATATATATATATATTTAGAGATAAATAAATATGTCAAGTGAACAATAGCTACAACAACTGTGATAATAACAATCCTTAAAAAGAGCGCCAGTATTTCATTACTTGTGCGTATTTTTTCGGGTTTTTCTTTAAGATCATATTACGGACTGTGGGAATTTTAATTGTTATATAAAGTTATATAAATATTTACCTCGATCTACAATTTTTCCAAATAGATTTTTTCCCCTCAAGAAATTACGTGTTGAACAATTCCAACGACGATTGCGAAATTGATGTTGACACTCACTAATTGCTAGATTCGCTCCTTTAACTAATGCCCCCAGTACACCAGGATTGTCACGTACCAAGCGCCTCTGTTTACGCCGCAAAGTACTATGTATAGCTGGGTCCATATACATAATACTCGAACTAATGGGTGATATATTATTTGGTTCACCAACTTTTGCAATGCCCCTGAAAATACGATATATTGTAAGAAACATCATCGAAAGAATATTACATTTTTGAATACTATATGCTTAAGGATCACACTAATTAGAGAGCCAAGCTATTGAACATCAATAATATGTATAAAAATTTATATTTATATATGCAATAGGGAGCTCATTACAAATATGTGAGATTGTCATAAGATTCTGATTTTTGCTTTTCTGTCTCTCCTTCTGTCCGTTTTTTCTTTTGCTCTGATGGGGTTTGTCATGCTTACTATAATTAATATAAAAAAGTAGAACTCGAAATTTATTGCATTTTACAGATCCATTTTAGAAAAAGGCGGAATCCTCCCACAAATATTTATGCAATAGCTATAGAACTAAAAAAGTATCTTTTTCCTTTATATCCATATATATACAAAATATTTGCAAGTTGAAGATGGTGTGTTGCTACTTGAAGAATAAAGTTATTTGCGTATTTGCTTTAATACTTTTTCTTAACTATCTTTTTCCTTTTACTTTCATAACAAGCCTACAAGGCTTGTGGTTCAAGGGTATATTACCTTTTATTATACCGATCTAATCTTGTCTGTCCGTTTGTCCGTTTTTTATTTTTTCCCTCAAGCTGCAATTTTTCAGATACATTGATGAAATTTTGGTCCACGGACGAACTCTCAACAATTTTTCGACCATTTTCCATATAAAGCCTTACTTTGAAAACTCATTACATGAATAATTGTGTTAAGCGAAATAGGGTAGGGTATTTTATGGTGGACCATGGCCTACTATAATGCTTTTACTTGTTTTTCTCTTTTTTTTATTAAATAAAATTTATATTCGTTTAATATTTATTTATATAGACTATTAAAACCTCATATGAGGAATTCATTAAACAAACGTCAGGTTCTTTATTATTTAGAGAGGTGTGTTTATTTTTTCGTCTAGTTGGAAACATCATAATGTAAACGTAAACACTAACCCATAAAGCATATAAATATTCCATTAGTCGAAGTTTCTGATTCAATTTAAGCGCCCTCGCCTTGCCCTCCCACAGATACCACATGCAAGGCCCACACATTCAAAATCGCTGTAAGCTTCTACATCGATTTAAATCCAGACTATTGTTTATCCATATATTTGTCATTTTTGTTAGGGCTTTTTTCGTTAGGGAATTTGAGATGAAGATCTGCAATTTATTCTATATGTGACGTTTTGAAATTTTCTTAATAACTAATAAGGTTAGCGTAGGTGTTGATCTACAATTTTACGGAAGTCTTTATGAAAGGAACGCGGCCCGAATTGATCTTTGCGTATCCTTTACATAATTGCTTATCATGATGGATAGCCGGGATACCCCCCCTGGAAGGCAGCTGTAATTTTCTTACTCCGTTATATATTTTAATTTTTATTTAAGCAGTTATCACAACATCTATCCGCAAATCTTTTACTGCTGTTGGCAGTTTTGTTGTTTATTATTTTTGCTGCCATTGGGGCTTTTTGCTGTTTTTTTTTTTTTTTTTCTTTTTCTTTTCTTTTTGCTATTGTTTTATATTTGTTTTCAATAAACATTAAATTAAAGCTTAATGCTTTAAATTGACATTTTTATAATGCACTGTTGTTATTATTGTTGTACTGCTTCAAACATAAATAACAACAATCAACGTAGACAGCGTGCAATCGAGCCCAGCCAACAGAAAAGCAAATAAGAAAATTAAAAAAAAAAAAAAAAAAAAAAAAAAAAAGCAGCAGCAAGAATATAACAGTAGTAATGAGCAAACTTATATGTAGAAATAAATAAAATAATGAATCGTTTTTTCTATGCGAAGACAAGTTATTGCTTTCATTGCAGCCAGCTTAGAGTGTTTAAATACCCTCCCGAGGGGATATCGATATAAATAAACAATAATTAACGACACCGTTAGGCAATGCACGAGTAATACTTTACTATTATTAGTTTTAATGAATGAGTTTGTGTTTTAAATGAAAATAAACTTTTAGAAGAATTATGCAAAAAAAAAGAAAACAAATAAATAAAAGCCTATTAACACAAAAAAAAAAAAAAAGAAAAAAACATAACAGTAATAGTGAAGATTTATGACTCATGTTAAATTACTTTTCGAAGTAATCAAAGAAGCCCCTTAAAATTATTACATAACTTTCCGTTGAAAGGCTTATAATTCATTTCCGAGACAATGGATCCTTAATCCTGTTTCAAAGATGAATAGAAAATTTAGGTCATCCTACAAGAGAAGTGATGCACCTTTGACTTGACCGCTTATAACCTGATGAGAACATGGCCGCTTTTTTCCTTCTTCTTCACGTGAAGAATGTACATAGTGATATTCAAGTTGAGTTGAATAAGTAGCGAACATCAAGAAAGTGAAAAGAATGAAAATTTTATCTAACTTATAGGTATTTGTGGGCGTGGTTGAACAGAATCAGTATAGGATCCTCTATAAACTAAACTTAAAAGATTTCATTCCGTACATCTTCGTTTAGAGAAACAGAGGAGCACTTAGCTTACTCTTTATCCTAACATCTTAACGCTTGCCCCCAAACGGGTATCAGCCACACATGTGCTATATGTGAACAGATGGTTAGATCGATTCAAAAGTTTATCCTGATCACGAGTATATATATTTTATAGTCTCCGAAGCATTATGACAACATGAGTATACTCCTATTCTTCGCTGGCGGGTAAAAAAAGAGGAATGCAACCTGCCCAACTCTTTTGATTTTTGCGACGAAAATTGCATTATCTTGATGAATGGTAATGCATGCAATGCATCACTTCATTTGCAACGTGACATGTAACACCGTCTTTTAATATCTTCCGAATACATTTTCTTCATCATCTTGTGACATCGCCATCACTAATCTATTCTGCTAGGATGAGTTTCTGTAAGCAAAAGCATGTTTTGCATTGTGATATATTAGATTGAAGGCACTTTTCTACGTGTCACTCTACAAAGGTAGTCAAGTTTTATCATATAAATAAACACACATATTACAATATATTATTCAACATCAAACAAAAGACTTAAGTAAAAAACCTCTTAATGAGAGAGTTCAAGGAAACCGTTTTTCAATCAATTTAATAAAATTTTAAATCGAATCATGTATCGAAACATAATACGAATATATAAATGAAGAAATTTCTCTAGAATGTCTTTATATAAAACTTGATAGCTTCTTATTAGTTAAACGACTCCGGGTATGCTTGACATAACACAAACTTCGACGAAAGATTCAAAAGAAAGCTTTTTTACAGTAATTAAATTATATCGTTGATGGTTTATGCCTGTAGTACTTCATCTTTACATAAACTTGTGTCATGCCCAACCATCATTTATGAGGTGATATAGAGGTACAGTAAGGTGTTAAGAAGAGCAGATGGAAAAGTCATACAAAATTGAAAAATTTTAGATAATTCATGGAAACTTTAACAATTAAACTTTAACATGGAAACCTTAACAATTATAGATAAGAAATTTTATTATTGTGCAATTATTTGTTTTTACTTTCCTACCTTACACCACTTGTGGTACAAGCGGGCCTATATTAAGTTAAAGGGAAAAATAGCGATTTTTGTTCAGGCGATTTTAAAAATGTTAGTAAAAACGAAAAGGCTACAACTATAAGGACATCTTACAAATTAAATGTTATTATTAATTATATAAATAAGTGGCATTGGAAGAGGTTATACAGCTTATAAGAGACTTACAATATCAAAACATACACAATATCAAACACTTTGTATGATATAAAAATTTTCGATTGGTTTTTTATGGGTAGACGTTAAGGAAAAGAAAATTTCAGCATAAGATTTCAGTATAAATGACGAATTTTTGATTTGCTAATAAAAATAATTGGTTCGAAAAAATTTCCAAATATATTGCGCTATGGTCTTACGCTTTCCCTCTTCCGCTCACTATTACATATGTCTAATTAATATAGAGAAAGGAGCTTCAGGTATTACAGTCGTGTGTGCACAAATACATACAGGTTTTCATCTAGTATGAGCGAGATTATAATCACTGGAATGTTAACTAGGACTACGGGGTTTCAGATTTTTATCTAGAGTTGACAAGCTAAACAACTAAACCAGCGGCACCTACAAAACGTGTGCACCTCACATGAATACTTAAAGCGTATTCCTTATTAAATACGCAAAGAAAACCTTTGTATGTTGTACGATTATTAGCGTTACTCATCAAAGTTAATTCGTTCTCAGCTTTCGAAGGCAATTATAACAATCTTTCTGCGATGTACAGCGTGTTAGTGAGTCACACATATATACATAAGAATTATGTAAGAAAAGTGTTCTTGCGCGATTTATATTTTGTGTGTAGTAATAAAAAGCATTTTGCGCACCTCACCAGGCAGCGTTAGGTAAGATTGGTATGCAGTCAACAAATGAAATTATCTTCGATCTTGATAAAACATATCTTTCTTAGCGACTTTCAAGCGAACTCTAAGAAGCGTAGAAACTTTTACGATCCTCTCCGGGAAAACTTGTAAAGTTTTATAAATAAATTTTCTTTTGGTTATTTTTTAATAGAAAAAGAAACCAATATTTGAAATTTATATCCTCATTATTACGTTATGTAATAACACAAAATTATATTTATCTATTCCGAGGAAAAGCTCCTACGTTAATTACTTTCAATATTAGTGTTATAATTCTTTATATATTATTTATATAATAATTATATTTTCCTTTCCCCCCCAAGTTTCTGTTATATTCATTTAGCAAGACAAACACACTGCTTCTACAAACGCTTTAATGACCCCTCAGGTATATTTGAAATTAAATTAAAAAAAAAAAAAAAAAAAAAAACGAAAAGCTTTAAAAGAAAGCTTTAGTCAGTCAGTCATATGTGCGAGTTTATCAAATTTACGTTGATAGAATTTTTAATGACAATTTCATAAGTTCAACACTCAAAAGGTAACAAACGGAGCACACAGCAACAATACAGCTTCCGTGTCGAAGTAGTTATAAAATATAAGCGAGTTTTTTTCTTTCTTTTTTATTTAGATTTTCTGGAAACAAAATGTCATACCGTTGTTTTTTATTCTTTTTATTATTATTACACATTTTTTATTTATTTATTTAGTTATTTTTTATTTATTATTTTTTTTTTTTAGGTATCTGTTCGGTTGAATGCTCCGGTTAATGATTATGTTTCACATGACGTGTGCTAATGTGTTTATTTGTCTACGAATGTTTTACTGCTTTTATTTGGCTACGTATTACGCTGCTTTTGTTTAATATCAGTTTAGTTATACATCAAACTTTTGTTTCTTTTTTTTTTTTTTTTTGTTTGGGATTTATTTAAGTAATTTTTGGATGGAAGCGTTAACATGAAAAATAAATAGAGAATAGGCTATAAAAAGTTTTTACGTTTTTAATAAAATGCGATATTAAATGTAAGTGTGTAAAAAGAAAGAAACATAGAGAGAGAGAATTAAAAAGAGAGAAAGAGAGAGAGAGTGGGGCAAAAAAGCCTACCTGCTGAATATCAATGGCAATAAAGAGCTTTAAACGTGTTTATTGTTTCCAAAAATGTAATAAGAAATTTATTATCTTCTGCGCTTCATTTAATAAAACTGTGATGTACTTAATCTGACAGTTAGTCATTTTTTTTTCTTTCCTTTTTCTTAATTTGGTACATAACGATTCCACTTTGATATGATAGAGTAATACATAATTTTAGCATAACATATCATTTTTATTAGGCTGTTCGGAAATGAATTTTTTTTTTTTTTTTTCAAATAGAAGAATCAAGAGCTCGCTCAAGTCGCATTGTCATTATATATCTTGTTAGCTAGTAGAGGAAGTCTTGTTTGTGGAAAGCTTTGTTTCATTCTACGCAATAGATATGGAAAGACGAAAGCAGCATTTTCGCCACATTTCACAATTTTTACCATCAAAAAGGTGAACATGCTGTTTAAGCACGAAAAAAATTGTCCCATGTGTATGGAGGAAGAGAAAATCTATTGACAAAATAATGATGTAAAAGTTGGTTTGTAAAATTTCTTTCCGGCAATGTTGAAGTTGAGAATACGTCAAGTTCTAATAGGTCAGTCAAAGTTGACGCCACAAAAACGAAAGCGTTAGTTGATACAATTCATCGTATAATAATATCTCGTGCGATCAGTGAGTGTTCAAATGCAATGAATTGGACCGTTTATGATTTTCTTTTTCGACAGAAAAAAAAAACGAACTTACTCTCTGAACATCCCTATACAGTCTGTTTATATAACCGTTTCAATGGTTGGTAAAGTTTTTTAAGAACATCCCAGATTTCCTTGTTTAAAGGTTCGCTTGGTTCGCTTTTCATAGGAATTATGACGATCCCTCATGGAAGCATGATGAGGAGTTCCTAAAGTATATTCTTTATTGGATTGATTGTTAATGTAGGTTACGACGTTTCCTAAATGTGAAACTAAATAATTTCGTTATAGTGCGACACACACAGTGAGCACAGAAGCTTCTAAACATGAAAGCACTTTTCTTCTTCCTTATTTACTTCTGCCTGACATTTTCTGCATTTCTAAAGTTGTATACACTTTAGTATACATTTGTAACACTACACACTTTAGTTTTATTCGTGCTAGATATTAGAATATTTTATCTGCTTATATAGCAGGATGTGCAACACTTTGTCTCACAATATATATATTAGCAAAGTTTAATGCTTCATAATAACCTATAAATTAATTTTTAGACCCTTCAAATCCTGATTACAAAATATTCACCTAAACACATATAACATATATACCTACATACAAATCAATCGCAAGCTGAATTACTGGGTTTATGCATCTCAGATGATCGATCTACCGCTTAGTGGGTTAATGACCATCGGCTACAACGTACCTAAGTACCCGAAAGATATGTCAAAAGCTTTCTGTGTTTTAATGGTCAGTACGGATATGAAGTAGAATGCTTTACGATAGTTTCAAATTTGATATAAAACTCAAAGTTTCATCAAAAAATGTGTCGAAAGGATGTTTTGTCTTTTAACTTTTGATATAGCAGTTTATATAAAAATCTTAGCATATTCAGATAACGCTCCAAGCTATCTTTATGAAATGATTTGTTATTTTAGTGCTGCATCACTCATTTCAAATCTTCTTATCCTTTTTCTTAAAGTCCCGTTCAACTGTTTGTCATATCGGAAATCATCTAAGTAAAGCAAAATATTTACATTCGGCCTTCCTTCTTGTGACTGTATGTCACTGCAGTTTAGTTTGTTTCTAAAAGATGTCTTGCTCTGTTTCAATGCAAAAGTCTTATGCTATGAAGAATTTACAACTTTAGTTGCTTACAATAGCTAGCAGTAGTAGTAGTAGTAGTAGTAGTAGTAGTAATAATTTTCAAATTTTCTAACACATTGGTTATAGCACGCAGCAGATCTTATAGTTGCCTGCCTCGTGCCACAGCTGATTACACTATGTTCTATCGGACAGCCGCCTGTTTAGGAAGATGATTTTTGAAAAATATCTCTCTAGTAGAACAACAGCAACAACAACAACAACAAATTCAATAATTCAACAAAAATTTGCCATCAATTGCATATTTGTTTTTCTTTGTTAAGAATTTTAAGTAACGTGTATGTAATTTCGCTCTTATTCTTTATATGGTAAAGCTATAAACGAATGGTACTTATGGGAATAAAGAATACGTTTGCTTTGGGTTAAATTTTGCTTAATACCTCCTGAGCATTGCAAACGGTCGAATGAACTTGATGTATCTGTCTTGCGTGTAGGATGCAGATATTTTAAATATTTTTATAGCATGCTTTAGTTTAGTGATTAATAATCTATTTCATGTACATTATTATGAATTGTTTGTCTTTTGAAACAAAAGACTTGAGTAAAAAACTTGCTAAAATTTATTTCATATATATATGCATATATATATATATATATATATATATGCGAGATATCAAATATTTTTATTTTATAGATAATAAAAAAGAAAAAAAAAATGTTATTGAAAATAAATTATTGCACAAAATATCAAATAAATTTAATAAAATAAACATAAATTAATGGAAAAACCTATTATCATAAATAAAATTGAGATAAAAAACAAAACTATTCAGCAAATTATAGAAACCTCGCTTAAAAGCATTGTTTGCCGATCATGATCGATCACTTTTAGTAAAATATCTCTACCGAGACTATCTCTACAATGTTATCATGAGGTGAAGTTAACAAACGTTATTGAGCATAAATGAAAGCTGAGAGAAGGGGTTCACATAAAGCCCTTGTAAAGTAACTAATGTTAGCGCGAGCTACTGAACATTTGAATATAATGCCTTTTCGTTCAATTTTTTATATAATATTTTTGCTTATATCTAAAAGTGTATCCAGCTTAAAAGAACGAGTCAAGTTTATATACCCAAAACGAGTAAAATAATTTATATATATTTCACAGCTCTTAAGCGGGCGTTTACGTGAGCTTCCAATCTTTAGCAAATAGTTTTGTAGTTTATTTGACTCAAATAACTTTAATTACCGTAAGATTTGAAGATAAATGCTCTATGCATTTTAATGGGTTTTAAAAGCTCTGAATGTAATAAGAATACGAATGGTCCCGCATTCCCTGCGATTAGAGAGTACGAACAAAATGATTGATGCGAATGCATGAATGTCGAATTCATTTCGGCTCAATACTTTTTAGACAACGTGTTAAATTCAATATTTGATAAGTCACTTCAGTCAAGCATATTAAGAGATGAACGGATAGACAGAAAAGTGTAATTGACTTTAAATTGTATTGCGTCGAAACGATATGAATTCTCTCCACTATCTCGGACGGATGACTTTACAGGCAGATATAGACGGACTTGGCGATATCAAATTATGTATGCTTTAATGCTAGAAACGGCAACACATAACCATAACAGACGAACGGGTAACGAAATCAAGTAGTGCATGCTTTAATGTCCCAAAAGGCCACACAAAGCTATTGCATCTTCATGAAAATTATGAATATAATCCGCAAGATAATTGCACATCCAAAAATAAAAAAAAAAAATTCTCAATTTATTATAAGAGAATGTCAAGTTACAAATAGTAAGTGAAAAGCTGTAAAAAGAAATTGCAAAAGTCTTACCACCACATTGAACCTCTCCCCCGTCCTGACTTATGTTTGCTCTCCGCTTTACTTAAATATAAACAAACTATCAGAAGACTGGCTATTCTACCGAAGGTTAATAGATCCATTGTGTTTTTTTGTGGTGTTTGTTTTTTTTTTTTTTTTGTTTATGAATTTTTTTTCTTTATTGATTTTTTTAATAATAAATATTTTATTGTCACAAGATATTACAAGCAAAATTCGTTGCTGTTTGTTCTTTCAATAGCAACGGAATAAATTTCTCATTAAAAAATTTTTTTTTTATTAATACATTAAATGCACTCGTTTTTTTTTTATTATCATATTTTTAAAAAATTTTTAAAACAAACATTAAAGAATAAATATCATAACCAATTTACATATGTCAACAAAAGCAATCTATTAACACTTAAACGACATTGTGAAATTATTAGCTAGTAAGCTAATAAGCGACGGCGGCGGTTTAAAGTTATATTATTTTCGTCTTCATTTAAATTTAAAGAGATTAAAATTAATTCCATTAATTTTCTTAACGGGATTGTTGTGTTATATTTATTTTCGTTTATTGTTCATTAATATTTCTTTTACTTTGTATTTGTATGTTTTCATACTCTTTTTAAATATTTTTTCATTATATTTTTTATATATGTTTTTGTTAAATAATAAACTCACAAAGTAACGAACGTATATATTGTTACCCGGTTCAGTGCTAGCGCTTAACTGAAACACTTTGTGTTCTTTTGCTACACTTCAATATGAGTCGTTTTTCTTTTATTTTTTCTGCTTTTTTTTTTTTTTGTTTTTTTTGTTTTTATTTGTCTTCATCTCCCGTCTTATGTTTTCTACTACAATCGTTTATAGGTTTAACACAAAAACAAATACTATAATACATTATGATTTTGTTAAAGCCTCTTCAAACTCATAAGTACACAGCAAACACGTAAACGCATACTTAGGTTAAACTCACAAAAAAAGTAGTGATCTCTCTTGAATTTTTTTTTGTTTTCTCATAGTAAAAAGAAAACAGATATAAACGCCCTTTTTTTTATTATTTAATGCAGGCGGTTAGATAGAGAAAAGCACTATATATACACTATAGTTATCCCTTTCACTCTTAAAAAGAGAAACGAAGATCATTCATATACAAATGCTTGAAGGAGATGTGCTTAGTATTAGTATATTTATTATATACAAAAGTAAACAGAGAAATAAATAAGAGAGGAGAAATGTGAAAATATAATCATTGTCCCCTTAATGGGTTTTATTTATATATGTTAACAAGCTACCAACCAATGAGATTAAGGAACATATTGTTTATATAAGATAAATACATTAGCGCGTAAAGAGAAGTTGAAAACAAAATTTTATTTGCTTTGCTTTGCTTTTGATTAACATTATATGTCTTTGATTAATAATGCTTTTGTTTTTTGTTTTTTTTTTTTTTTTTTTTTGGTTAAAATGTGCAAAATTAATTAATTTTCATACCCATAAGGTTTATTATCAATCTTTATTCTAAATATTCTGGAATCGTGTTTCAAACATCGCATGAAATATATGTACATTCTTGATTAGTGTGAAGTGGTAAGAAGTTTTAGCCAAATTTCTCTCGTTCTATACGCCCACTTTTTTTGCAATATACTGAATAGTCTATAATTAAAAAAGTGAATTTGAATTAATCTAAGTCACATTCAGCCTTTCAGGAGAAAATAACCTCAGCTAATGTTAAATATTACCTTCCGAGGAGGATGATTTGAATACACGAAGAAGAAAAAAACGAATTTTCACCCTTTCTGGGTTAAATAAATTGTAAAATAAACAAGTGAAACCGTTACAATAGGCCGCGGCTCACCATTAAGCACCCTACAATGTCTTACAGTTATTTCAAAATAAGGAAGTAGCCGAGAAGGTAATCCGACCCCAACTTTTTTCATTGGCATTTGTCCTCGGCCAACGCACGTTAGTCTACCAAATTTTGTTATAACATCGCCAAGACTGCAGGCTGCAGGTTGAATAAAAGGAAACGAGACGGTCGTATGGGTAGACAAACTCAGATCGATTAAGGAAGTGATTCTGAATCGATAGGTATAGTAGTAGAAGATGGGTTTATCTCAAGTCCTTGTGTGTGTTGCATAGATCTGCACACACTTCGTATAGCCTTGCGTCGAAAGATGGACGGGCGGATAGACAACCTTAGATCGATTTAGAATCGCTTTCTGGTATCATAGATGCCGCCTCATAAAAGGTAGGTTAGCTAAAGAGTGCGTTTATCTTAGGTGTCGCATAAACGCAAACAAACTCAATGTCTGCTTGTAGTACTTGTAGTGGTATAGGACATAAAAACTGTTGGTTGGCTTAACTGTTAATGAATTCTTCATGTTTATACAAATGTGTGAGTATAAAAGCAGAATATTGAGCAAGAATTTTTCGTAGGCACGTTCCAGTTGACCCTCATGCAAGTACACTAACTACGCTTTGTAAGTTTCCCTTCTTTTGTTGTTGTCGTTGCAATTTCAAAAAATATATGATCTGATAATCGCGATGAATACTCCGATAATGTGAAATATCGGGACTCGTAGCTCCGAATGGGCCTTAGTATGTCTAATATGTTAACGGAAATCGATATTTTTCTTTGTGTCTGTCTTCTTTTTTTTGTCGTTCTTAATATATAAAATGAAGAAGACTTAATTTCATTGAAAAATTTCTGCCTATTAATTTTGGCCCAAGTGAGTTATTCACTCTCGCTATCTATCTCTTGCTCTCTCTCCTTTTTATTGATAATCTACTTATATAAAAAATATATATAGATATTTGCTTTTTATATACCTTCCCGTGTATATACGTTTTTTATATAAGTTTTATTACTGCTCTCTTAAACTCTTACTCTTTTCACACATTACTCCGCTATATATATATATATATATGTACACAGACTTCATTATGATTTTTAACTAATTGGATTTTCGTGTTGTTTACTGTTTCCACATTAGGTTATGTGTGCTTCTCCCTTTCTCTCTTTATATTCTTATAGTCTTTATTCTTTTTTTCCTATACTTGTTACAAAGTTTTTGTCTGTTAACCATTTTCATGTTCCGTTGATATTTTTCATTATCTCAAAAACCTTAACTAAATGATGACTAAACATAAGATTCATCGTCTACCTCTTTGCCTCGTTTCAACTTTGTTTAAACCAATGAGAGATTCAAAAATTTTAATTAGATATTTTTAACAGCTTTTCTTCTTCGTTTCATAATGGAATTCCATAGAATTTAACAAAATCTCATCTTTGTTGTTAATCTTCATATTCATTTTAATGCAAAGAATGCATGCCTGCGCTGTAGATAAGAAGGCGTGCTTTTTCTTTTTTTCTTTTTCTTTTGGTTTCTAAAACATATAAATTCAATATAATTATTTCATTAATAATTTCATTTTGTGGTTTTAAATAAATTACAAAACATTACATTTAATATAATAGACTTACAATAAGGCTAGAAAGAAACAGTTAAATAATCCTAAGATCCCATAAGAAGGACGAGATTTTCTTACACTAGGATCTGTGGCATCTGGAAATCAATATGGATGTACTTTTCTTCGCCATCTGTTCTGCTGCAATTCGTACGAAACCCCAATTTTATCTTTCATCATATATAACTAACTCCTTTGAAAATAAAAGCTTATAACTAAATGGTATTTGTATGACACTACAATATTCTTCTTAAAAGGAAATACAAATGCGAGATTCAAACTGTACCCATATTTTTTTAAATTTTTTTTATAATATAATTTTGAAAATATATTATTATTAAAGCATTTGATTAATTAAGGAAATAACGCACGAATATGTTCTCGCCTTAAGCAGATATCGATTAGTAATAACGTATATCTAAGAGTTTGTGTTTGATTAGTCCTGATTAGTCTATTGAAATTGTAAGGGCCTAAAGGAAAGGTATCGAATATTTACCGCCAATTATTCTTCTTCTTATTTCTTTTTATAAAGACGAAGTAAGTCGTAAAGAAATCTCGTTTTTTCAAATTGTCTTACGATAGTTATAATTAGAGTAACATATATGTATATGTATATATTCTTACATTGTGATACAAGGGTATATTAAGTTTTTGGGGATGTATGTAACATAAAGAAGGAGCTGAGATTGATCCAACTTTCATTGTGCCGAGCGATTCGGAATCACTTTTTGCATCGATCTAAGCTTGTCTGTTGGTCTGCCTATCTGTCTTGTGTCCTTGTGTTCAAACTACAGGCCGCTGTGGTCGCTACCTTTTTTTGTTTCATTTTTTGGTTTCATGATCATAATTAAAGATTTTGTTCTATATGTTTGTTCTATAGGTTCGTTTTATATATGCAAGTTTCCTACAATTTATATTAAATTTAAGAGTTATTTTATTTGTTACCTTTTTTGCTCCTCGATCATAAGAACAACATTTTTATTAAGGGCACAATTTCAACTATTTGAACCTTGGAAGCTTTAAATTTGAACACGGCAAAGGGAGAGAAAACTTGCAAAAGAAGGTTGTATTTGGCTTTGATCGCCTCTCTCAATACTGACAATTTTCAAGTGACAAGCATTGAATTTGTAGATTTCGTATTTTTTATAAAAATTCATTCTTCATTTTATTTATACTCAATATTGATTATTTATATTAATCAAATTTTTAGATTATTTCCAAGGCTTTAAAATCCGCAGAGATTAGTTTGGTAATCGTTGCCTTCTCTGTCATTCTCCTTCTCTCCTTTTCTTTCTCTCTATCTTCCTCTCTCTTTTGCTCAATGTTTCTCGCTCTTTTTCTCCATTCCCATTTTCCTTTCCATCCTTTTCCCTCAGCCTCCGTCTCACTCTCTATCTCTCTCTCTCTCTATCTATCTTTCTATGCCTATTTACCTTCCCTTCAATTGCACAACATATGTCAAACACGTGAATCAAAAGAGGTGAACATGAATGGATGAATTCACCATCCAACATGAGCTATATGTAAATAAAAACATGTATCAAATCAAATCTTAATTCGTCATTTGAGTGCATAGTGCACGATGCAAACGCATTGATCGTGTTTTTGAAAAGAATACAAATCGGCGTTTGCCATTACTTTTCATTACCTTATAATAAGGTATAGATGAAAATATTT